ATGTGCATTGACAATTCTTATGCCTTCTGGAAAAACTCCTTAATGGAACACATTGCACTTCATTCTGAATGTCTTCTCATTTAGTCAAACCTCCCTGGTCTTCAAAGCATTATACAGAGCTCACTGAGTGTTGAAGGACCAATGTTGTCAGAGAGGTGAGCTTGAAAAATCCTGCAGCACAGCAGCAGAGTAGGGTTTCCTGCATCCCACAGAGCAGGAAACAAAGTACAGATATTTTCATCTCCTCTCCTCTTGCATGCTGCATGCTTGCAGGACTGAATCAATCAAGACATAATCCCTCAAACATCCTTAAACATGGCCTATTTATTAAGCCCACATATCCTGCTTCCATGGTGTGTACTGCTCTGAAATTTCTGGGTCTCACCTCGTCTTGCTTCTGTCACTGCAACACATAAAATCATAGAATCATAGAATGGTTTGGGTTGGAAACAACCTTAAAGATCATCTAGTTGCACCCCCCTGCCACAGGCAGGGACACCTTCCATTAGATCAAGTTGCTCCAAGCCCCGTCCAATCTGGCCTTGAACACTGCCAGGGATGGGGCAACCACAGCTTCTCTGAGCAACCTGTGCCAGTATCTCACCACACGTAGCATAAAAAATACCTTTCTTATGTCCAATCTAAACCTACCCTTTTCCAGTTTAAAACCATTGCCCTTTGTCCTGTCACTACAGGCCTCAATAAAAAGTCCATCTCCAGCCTTCTTGTCAGACCCTTTAGGAACTGGAAGTATGCTTTAAGGTCTCCCTGAAGCCTCTTCTCCAGGCTGAACAACCCCAGAACTCTCAGCCTGTCTTCACAGAAGAAATGGGATAAATCACTGTTTACTAGTTTCTAGTATGTACAGAGCATATTTTTCCCTCGAATGAATTGAAGCCACATTCTTTGAAAAATTGAGGTGCAAATAGACTTCAACTCTCAGAATTCTACCAGCAAATGAAATCAAAGCATATTTTGCATATGCTGTGATTGAGTTTTGAAAACTGCATGTATTTTTTTAACAAGTCAGTATTCAAGCTCACAGTATTAAAGAATCAGTGTTGTGGTTAATGCACAAGGCTGGGTATCAGCTGACTTAGATTCTAGTCTGGGCTCTATCTCAGAGTTCCCTATGAGGTAATCACAATTGTCTTTTCAGAGGTGGTAGCTAATTTTGGATAACCCAGCTTTGCCTGCCAGGCTTTAGTATCTGGAACCCAGTATTCAGAAACTGGTTTCACTGACTTCAGCTGGTATAAAAAGAACTTCAAATCTCCAGAAATCAGAGTCCTAAAACTGAATTTCCATTGGTTGCCATTTATATCTCTGCAAAGTGTCCACAAAATGTTGCCAGTGATATAAGTGGAGAATTCAGATTTATTAATACTGTGCATCCACTGCACATGCCTTAATAACTACAAAACACTTAGGGGGATGGAGGGCAGGGTCCAATGCACCCAGAGGCTTGCCATGAGCGAAGTACCCAATGTCCAACACACCTGATCTGTACAATTCAATGCTTCAGCTTGGGTCATCAGAAAATAAAATGTTTCAAATAAGAAGCCATAGCTGAAAAGGCAGATTTTCTTTGCCATAAAACTATTTATAGTCAATATAAATGTATGATGCTACATGGAACTGAATTTGAGTTAAAGTTAAAAAACCAAAGTGACTTTTACAAGTGTTCTTATGTGTATCTGGAAATGAGTCAACAAAAATAAGTTCATAGTCTGTAACCCTGTGACACTAAAGAGGAAAAACATTTTCTCCACCTCACAAAGAAACATTAGTGAAAAATCCCCAACAGTAAAGATCTGACCACATCATATTTTAATTAGACAGCCAGATAGCTCACTCAAGAATCCTGGTGTAACCTACACTAGATCATTCCATCTGTGTGAGGATGTTTTGCAATTATGCCAGTACTTCCAGATCAGATGACTCAGAATGGGTGGTGCTTATAGGGAGGAGATCCAGACCCTTTTGTCCTTCACAGGAATCCAGGCCTGCTGAGCACTCTCATCTGACACCAGAGTTGTCTTTTATTATTAGGATACCATGACCACACTGCTCCTGGCACCTGAGTGAGGTTGCTTTTGATAACCAGGAAAAGTACAAATGCAAGATTTGGTAAAGGTCAGAGTTCCTTAATGCTAATGAAGTAGCCATATAATGTTGGAGGTGTGTCTGATGAAGGCTTATCTTGTCCTTTAAACCATGATCTGATTAGAAGAAACAGAACTTCCTGAATGTTTTTAACTTATTGCATCCACTGTTTCATAAAATCAGCAAATGATACCCAGTATTTAGGGAATCCTAAGGGATGCTTACTGTGAATACTTCTGATTTTCTGTTTTTGGCAAAGTAATGGAAGAATCCTGAGACAAAGGTAAAATGCCTCAATAAGAAACAAAACAGATTAAGGAGAGATTAATACTAATACCTAGGTAGAATGTCTTTCCCGTGCTCTGCCAAAACAACCAGCTTCATCAACACAAGAACTTGTTTCCCCAGCCAGCACTGGGCTGGCATGTGCAAAGCTTATATACCTGTAAGAAGTGAAAGTGAGACAAAGAAACACTGCTATACTGTGTTTGCTCCTCCTGGACCTTCCTTTCTCTGCTATACTGAGCAGAGCTGTGGGACAGCTGCCCCCATAGCTTATTTTCCCTTTCTGTTCTGAGTATTTCTGGGTTCAAACTTAAACAGGGAAAGTTTAAGTTAGATATAAGAAAGAAGTTCTTTATTGTGAGGCTGGTGAGGCACTGGCATGCATTACCCAAGGAAGATGTGAATGCTCCATCCCTGGCAGTGCTCAGGGCCAGGCTGGATGGAGTCTTGGATGACATGGTTTCGTGTGAGGTGTGCCTGCCCACGGCAGGGGGTTTGGAACTGGATGATCTTAGGTCCTTTCCAGCCTTAACTATTCTATGATTCTATTTCCTGCTTCCTGCCTCTGCTTGTAGGGTTTCTCTGTGCCTGCACATTAGGATAAGCACGAACTACTCAACTGGCAAGTGCATAAAAACCTATTCAACTCAGTAGAAGACAGTTGTAGTACTTTATCTGATAAGCTTCAGCACTCTGCTCAGTCATCATACTTTTATTATCTTCTGTCACAAAGGCTTGCTCTCTTGCAAAAATCACAGCAAGTCACCACACCTTCTACTCGGAAACTGGGGGGAGTTCCCTCCATGGCTTTACGAGCAGCAGCAATTGGATGCTATAGAAATCTTCTATGTACACAATAGTATGCAAAAGTTACTTTTTAACTGACTGCAGAAAATCTGAATTTTGAAGTATATATACAAAATTACCCTGAAAATAGAAAAAAAAAATATTTTCCTCTATTTGCTTATTTCTTTAGAGCCTTCTAAACAAGTTGCACTAACTAGAATATACACAGAATGGAATATGTGCAATATATACACAAAGAAGATAAATCAAGAGTATATGGTACTCTATATTTTCACCCATCAATTCACTGATTTTTAAGCTTTTCCACTTCAAGATTTCTTTGCATCCTATCACTGATGTACAAAAGAAATACCAATCCCTGTGTATTTTGTGTATAGTTAAACTAAATCTGCAGCTATGATTTATTTATAAGTGCACTATACTATTAGCACAGTTCAGGTTCATAATCCGTTCATAAACACTGACATTGCAGGATCTCTGGGGTATTAATGATGTTCCTCAACACGACTCATGCAGAAAACTATCTCCTTCTCCACTGACACAACAATGGATACACTGGTGTAGAGAAGGCATTCCCTGTTACCCTGTTCAAAGCAAATGACACTGACAAGTACAGACCACGACAAAATTTCTCTCCCTGTTGCTTAAGAAGGTTGCTGCCATTCTCTGCACCTTTCTTCTTACAGACACTGCTCTTTCCTTTTCTTTAGAACAAGAAAAAAGATCTCAGTTCAACTAAACTAGCAAAATAAGTTTAAAAATAGACTTCCATCCAAACCACAATATATTTCCTCTCTCACATTGTACATGACCTTTGATAAAACACCAAAATCTTTTAAGGGTATCCAACAACTGGCAGCAATAGCTGGTAGCAAGGACAACAATGGATTTACTGACTGTACCTTGCAGTCCGTAAGTTCCTCCTTAAAAGGCCTCCTTCCGGCAGAGAACTTGCATCCCTTTCATATGTAATCTAATATGCTGTGCTAGAAGCAGCAAATTAACCATTTACTTTGCAGTGATTGGCAGCCCTCAGTCTCACTATGTCCTGAGTGACTTTAATTACACTGTAATTTCTGACTGCAGTTTTCAAACTAACCCTTAGTCATACAGTGTTTTCTTTAATAGTCAAAATCCCTGGTAGGAAAAGGCCTATGTGATAAAAATTATAGGAGATGTAGATGAATGCAGTAAAATTAAAATCATAAGCATATCTAAGGATCTAGTGAATATCTAATCTTGGAATAGTTAGTGAAGGCAGTTTGCTCTTTAGACTGTTCTTTTCTTTCTTCACGTCTCCCAAATTAAAACCTAGTTTGCCTCAGAGCAGAGTAAATTTTGCCATCACTGTACATGAGGAGGCACAGCTGAAGCATTCAGTCTGACAAATCAAGAGATGATTTGAACCAAAAATGACTCTTTTCTCATTCAGAGATTGCAGATGCTTTATTCATGAGCATTAATATGATATGGCATGGTACCATTCCCAGCTTATTGAAAGTAAGACACACACAGGTTAAGTGATGTGTCAGAATTGCCAAGCAGGACTAACAGCAGAACAGTAAAGGACGCATATTTCCCCTGTCTAAGCCCTGCAGCCTGTGTTCAATAAGCTGAGTGATTTCAGATAGACAGATTAATTATTTCTTTTCTGGACAAAGAGCAGGCTTTCAAGGCTTTCACATCTGGCTTCAACCAACAATGTAAACCCTTTATTTGTGTGAATATCAAAATGTCATGCCCCGAAAAAAAAGACTAGAAAATGAATGTTAAACATATCTGTATTAAAAAGCAATTCATACCCAGGTAAAGTTGCTACTGCTCCACAGTGATCAGGATGTCCTCCCATTATAGTGCATGGCAATGGATTAGTCCATGTTTATTTGCATAGCTTCTTCATCCCGTTAGGTACTGCCCCGTCTTCTCCTCATTCTCAGTATCTGGATGTGATTAAAGTTTAAAAAAAAAAAAAAGGTCAAATATCATGGCCTATAGTCTGTTATTTTTTAATTTTCTGATTGTTGAAACAGCCTGTAAAATTCAAGGCAGAGCAAAACATTACAACCATGACTATATACATATATACATATGTAACTCATATAGTTGTATAAAACCCCTTTTGCTTCTGTCGTTCTTGCTACTCCTGGTTGTAACAGCAATTGCTCATAGTGGACTGACACAGCTCATGGCACAGAAATAAAAATGGGGGGTTTGCTCCTGACTTCTTGAGTCTTGTGGAAGACAATGGAATTTGGGCAACACAAGCAACAAACCCCATACAGGGCTGTCAGAGATAAGCCAGGAGATGATGCTTATTCTTTAATAGGCCCCCACCAGAAAAATGCAAACTGTTTGTCAAGCAGACCTGGAAAAAACCTCTTGGGGCGATTAAACGCTCTCCTGGGATGCTGAGCTATGAAGTAATGCAATAGTCTTGATAAACAGTCCTTTAACAGCTGCCTGGTTTCCCTCTGTGCAAAGAGAGCTGGCAGACAAACCCATCGGGGGGCAGGCTGCTGGGGAGGGGGAGGTGTGAGAGGGGACACCTCTCACCCCGCGGGCGGGCAGGCAGCCCCCGGGCCTGCGGCCTGCTGCCCTCGGGAACTTGGGACACTGTCCCTGCCCGGCTCCCGGCCACGGCTGCCCCGGGCACCTCGTATAAGCGTTCCTACGGCGGCAGAGGCGTCGCCCTGTCAGTCAGCCTGTCACGGCAGCACAAGCAGGCGAGGGGAGCTCGGTGACCCCCTCTCCCGCGCCGAGGCACAGTCCCGGTGGAAGGCGGAAATATGTATCCGGTCATTCGGGTGGATCTGCGGTCCGGGGGGAGCGGGGCGGCCCGTGTGGCCGGGGAAGGCAGCGGGAAGCAGGGTCCGCCGCGGCCGCCATGGCAACGGGGGCGGGCGGGGCAGGAAGAGGCGGGCGGCGGCGGCTGCAGGGGTGGGGATGTCTCGGCTTTGATTGGGCGGTGTCGGGAGCTGACGGCTTCCGGCGTGCGCGCAGGCTGGGGGGGGGGGCCCGGCGGTTGTGGCGGCGGCGGCAGCGGCCGGGTGTGTGTTGGTGTCGGTGCGGGGAGGCGGCGCGCAGGGATGGACACGCTGGGCAGGAAGGTGGTGGTGTGCGACAACGGCACCGGGGTGAGTGGCTCCGGCACCGGGACCCGCCCTGCACGCGGGGGGGGGGGGGGGGGGGGGGGAGGAGGAGGGTGACGGCGGCGGGGGAAAAGGGGAAGCGGGGCGACTCCCACCCGGCCCAGCCCGGCCCGGCTTCCTGCCGGCACGCCCGGGGGCCGCGCCCGGCCTTGCTGCCGCTACCGGGCCCGGCCGGCTCCCCCCGCCCCACGCCGTGCCAAGGCGCTGCTCGGGGCCGGCGAGGGCCGCGCCCGCCGCTCTCTGCCAGTCCCGGCCCGGGAGGTCGGTGTGGGCCCGTGGAATGAATGGGCGGAGGGAGCTCGGCGCCAAAGAAGGGCGGCCCCGGTGGTGTGCCGGTGGTTCGATCGGTTATAAACTGGATAAGCAGAGCACACTCTCGGGGCTTTCGGTGCTGTGCCCGGTGCGCGGGTATCGCGCTGTGCTACCTCCGGCATTTTGCTGTTTTATCGTGAATGTAGTATTTCTCTGCATGGCCTGAGCGAGTGTCTGCAGCCACGAGTATTTAACCAAAAGTACCAATTATCTTCACATTCTGAATGAGAACATTGTATATCTGGCAAACAGGGATGTGTGCTCCCTGTGCAGGGTGGTTAGTTGTAGGGAAATGCTTGCGGTAGGGTGTTTTTTTGCAGCTGCTGGTCAAAATGGAGCGTCATCCTGTCGTTAACACCTTTCTGATCTGAAACATACTCAAAATTGGCATTTTTTTAATCCGGAGAAACGCAGAGGTTTTCTTCCCATCCTTTCACCTATTCTGCCCTCTCTGAGCGTACAGGCACCCACTGGAAACTCACCCTTTTGTCAGTGGTACACAGGCTTTGTAGGCGCCCCACAGGAAGTGATAAAGATCCCGTTTCAAAGCAGAACGATACAGGATGCTGTAGCTGGATCTTTGCCCTCGGTGATTTTGTTTAGCAATCTGAGGTTTTCCCTGGTAAGGAAATATGGAGAATTAGCACAGCTGACAGCATGTGAGCATCTCCTGAACATTAGGAAAAAAAAAAAAGGAACTGATTTTTGGTTTTTATATATAAACAGTTAGAATAAAGATACATTTTTTTTAAAGCCCAAGAGGGAATAGTTGAGACAAAGGATGTTGCTAGGGACTCAGTATCCTGAATTAGAGGGTTTTCCAATTAGCATCTGAAATGATTGGAACGGATCAGGAAGGGCATTGTATCTGACAGGTCTGGGATTTGACAGTTCTGATGTCATCTTGTTTTTCCTCCTATAGCAAAAAATTGGGGTTGGGATCTGGAGTCTGGGTACTTTTTACACTATCATTTAGCAAAAGGAAAGGAAAACAGGAGGTATTCACTGTTTTCTTCTTACAAAGGGATATGGAAGTTGTTTTGTTGGGGGGGGGGGGGTTTATTAGTTTTGAGGGTTTTTTTCTGGCTTTGGTTTTCTTTATTTTTCTTTTTTGTTTAATACTTTCATGGTCAGGCCCAGCTCTGAAAAATAATTTACAGATTCATCCTTTAGTGTGGCTTTTTACACAGCAATAAATCACGGAGTTAATGTTTAGCGTGTTAGCAGTGACAGCAGTGTTGTGCTGTGGCTGGTCTTGGGAAGGTGGGAGGCATGGGGTAGGAAACTGCTCCCCCATTTCCCAAGTTGGGTTTGTAGTGCAGATTTTGTGCGGTGTGACACATCTGTGTGCTTTGGAATCAAGAGACATACTGGAATGAAACATTTTATTTTCTCTGTGAGTTGTACCAGCAGGATATAAATAGCTATAACGGTGGAAGGTGTCTTTGTAGTGCCATTGCAGAGCTGAGAGGAGGGGCCTGTGTTGCTTTGGCTTGTGCTGCTTTGGGTTGTGTTAGGCCTCTAAGCAGAGCAACATGTGTATGGAACTACCCTGGTCTCAGGGTTCATTATGTGGGAGAGAAAACATCAAGGAATAATTTTTAAATTGGTGAACTAAAAATATTTAGTTGAATTTGGACAGTTAAACTAGAATGGGGTAAGTAATCTGGAAGAAAACTCCATTCAGGAAATCTTTTGAGCCTCAACTGCATATTGAGACTATCAAATAATCCTGTATTGCCAAACCAGTCTTTTTATTATCATTTTTTTTCTGTATGACAAGGAAGAGACACTTTGTCGGTGATTTCTGATACACTCTGATATGTCATCTTTAAAACCATGATTGAAATTAAATCTCTTGCTAGGTGCCAGAAATAGTACATAAGAATGGAGGCTGTCTTTAGAAAAATCACATGCAATTTTTAACTTTAGGCTTGGCTTTGAAATTTATTGTTGTTGTTATGCTGCAAGAGGACTTCTAATGTACCTGGCTGCAACCAGTCTTTGAGGAAGAGGTGCCTAGATGGAAGTTCTTGCAACACATGGGGTAGGGGAGAGGCAGGCAGTGACACCTCAGAGATCTAAAGCATTAGAGATGGATGTTGGTGGTGGTGCAGGACAAGCAGTTAGGTTGCTTGCTGGCCTGTAGAATTGCTCTAATTGTATTTAGGGTTTTTGTTTGTATTGCGTCAATGGAAAGAATCAAGCTCAGAGACCTGATAAGAATATTGGTATTCATCTTAAAACTTGTCACGTGACCTGTTTGTGAGCTTCCTCATTCTTTTAATTTGAAAGAGTACTTATACTTACAAGTTCTTACTGTTTGATGACTCAGTAGGAAGTGAAAGAGTCAGTATAAACCACAGTGAAATGGAGAAGAAACTATATATGGTAAAACTTCTTACATGCATGGCGTTGCACACAGCCAAGCTAAGTAGCTCTTCTTAAAACATTCTGAACATGCAGCAAATGTGTGCAAAAATGAATGATGATGATCTGTTGGCTGCCCTAGATGCGTAAATTCATTGAATGTTGGTGTTATTGGTCAAGATATGGCGTGTACTGAGTATTGTACAGAATATGATAGTTGTTGCAAGAGGTGTGCAAATAAGAGATGGCATTGTCTATTTGAAACTCTTGAGTTTCAAATAGAGAATGGCAGGAACAATATTTAATGTCCGACACTAGGAAAGAGAAGCTGATTCTTTTCCAGACTACTGCAGTTAATAACACTTAACAAAAGATTTTGGGGGATCTCCTGTAAGGAACAGGAGGGAGAAGTATCTCATATTTCTTGTACCACTTCAGAAATGTAAAACTGTCCAGGATCTATTATTATATACATCTGTGTTTCTTAGGTGCATTTACCTGTTGGTAGGTTGGCCAAGTCTGGTTCTTCAGCCATAATATCCAATGTTAGGTTATCACAAACCCAGTGAACCGGCAGCTGTATATTTGATATGTCAGAGAGAATACTGCAGTGGGGTGCTCTCATCGGAGGGGAAGCTGGTGCACAATGCCGACTTGTTCCCATCTTCACCAAATTTTCATGTAGCTGGGAGGGGGAAATTGTCACACCTGAAGGGGAGGAGGCAGAGTTAAAATTCTGCCCCTTCTACCAACTGCTGAGTTTACCCAACTTTGTAAAAATGCCTTTTTTTGTTGTTTTTTAAGGCTCTCTGTTCTGGCCTGAAAGAGGTAGGAAACAGACTGTGAATGTCTAAGCTTAATCTTGCTCATTGTAGTTCACAGAGATTAAATCTCGTTCTGATTGTGTTTTAGGCTGGTTGGAGGAATGACAGTCTGTTTTTAAAATCCAGGGTTTGTTAATTGCCAACTTTGTTAACTTTGCAGGAAGGTGTGTCAAGGTCTTAACACAGAAGGGGGCTGGAAGTTACTATTACAGTCCAGATAGTAAGAGCATAGAATAGTATTTTTGTAGGTCAGCATTTTCTAGGTCAGCACAGTTGTATGTGAGTTCGAGAGGTACTTTTTTAAGGTTGGCCAAGAGGCACTTACTGACTTTGTGAAGTAGTAGTTTGGGGCACATATCTCAGTGGCTGCTGTGTAAATCTTAAAGGTTATTTGCCCAGTTGGCTGGATTTAACAATATGGGTAGTAGAGCTACTTGATGGATGCTCCAGGAGCTTGAGTTGTAAAGATTCACTTAGGTGTTACTGGTCTTCTGTTGACAGACACTGTTGGTGATGACTGGTAGGGAAGTTGCTTCATGCTGTAGGAAAGAAAAGGGATGTGAAGGTATGTGGGCTACTTGGAGGTGCCCAGGTTGTACTTGGAACAGTTTATGAAGCCCTAAGCTAGAGGATGAGATTGTATGGGCTGTTTTGGAGATTTTCCTTCTAGCACAGCCAGGCCCTGCACAAGGAGATTTATAAGAAGCATACCTAAATGTTACGGTAGCAGCAAAAATTGTGTGATTGCCCTGAATGCAGGAATTTGCTAAATCTGAAAGGAAGCTTATCTTTATTAAAATTTGTACCCAGCTCAGTCCTTCAAAATGTCTCATGTTCCCTTTGGTCTAAAACTTCTGATTAAGTCTTCTGGTGGATTCAGGTAGTGGAATACAGAAATGCTTGTGGCTACTCTGCTTTCTTGTAGCAGCACTGCGTTCTTGAATCCACAGATAAGATCTCTCTAATTCCTGGATACTTCTGTCC